GAATATATATATATATATATATATATATATATATAAAAGAAAAAATGGGCAAACACATATGAAACACAGAAGTTGTCCTTGTATTTAATTAAGAATCATGCCAAGACGTAGAGGAGGCGTAGCTCCACGTATTCTTAAAATCGGCAACAGAACGGGTGGAGACGAGATGAATTTCCAAAGAGACAATCTCGTAACGACCTAAAAATATGCTAAACGAAAATGTTCCGTATAGAAGAAGGAAAGCAGCCAAGAATGAAAGAGAAATTGCATAAAATATTAAGATCTATTTCCCAAGAACTTCCTTCTCTGTTGATATTTTCCACTTCAATACGGATGTTATCCAAAGAACACAATCCGAGCGTGTTTCAATACAGAACCCTGATGATGGGAACAGAGATGGTCTCCGAAACGTACGTTTCGTCTTTTAACCACTGATCGCCCGAAAGATTTCATTGAGTTACGTCGCCGAAAGAACTCCAAATCATATATTTCAATACGAACTTAATAACATATCGGATTCCCATAAACCAGTCAGCATCACTCTATTGCCATTTAGGGCAACAATAAAATTCATCTAAATAACATTTAAATATCCAATTCTTACCCCGATAAAACAACGCGTCTACACCACGAATATAAATTTTTTAACCCTGTTTAGTGAAATAATCGGTTTATTGTGACAAAACCCACAAATACACTACACAGGAGATTTCAGTTTTAAATGTGGGATGTATGTAGTTAACACTATGCTTTAGAGCAGTGGTATTCAATCTTTTTTGTTCGCGTACCCCCAGATATAAAATCTCTTCAACTTTGTACCCCCAAAGTTGTTGGTGTATAATTCAAGTTATACATAGTATATAATCTATATCTAAAATAAATTAAATAAATTACATTACTGATTATTCAGTGTTTATCATAAAATAATATATATATATTTTTTAAAAATTTCACGTACACCCTAAGATGTCTTCGCGTACCCCCAGATATAATTTTTCTTCAACTTTGTACCCCCAAAGTTGTTGGTGTATAATTCAAGTTATACATAGTATATAATCTACATCTAAAATAAATTAAATAAATTAAATTACTGATTATTCAGTGTTTATCATAAAATAATTATTTTTTTTTTAAATTTCACGTACCCCCAGGGGTACGCGTATCCCAGGTTGAATACCACTGCTTTAGAGGGTTGATAAAAATGAATCTCACTCTTGAACTCAAGTCCTTGCTTTGACGCACTGTTTCAGTTCCCCAAAGAAAACAAGGTGAACGCGACAACTATCAGTCATGTGAAACAGAAATCAACGTCTACACTGATAGAACCTCAAAGGTAGGTCCACTCTTTAGCAGCGTTTTAAGTGAAGAATGTCATGTCAGAGAACACATACTTCCATATAAATCCTTCGGCTAAGATAACAGAAACGTAACTATTTACTCACCTAACGAAATATACCGACTTAATACCGGATGGACAGATTATCGCTTGTACCCACCCTCAAGGATTTCTTTAATAATCTGCAGCAGCTACATTACTATGAGAAGAAAAGTCAGTCGGCTCTACAGCGATCAGAACGCGGATAAACCGGACACGCTGTATTTCATCCTACAGCCACCAAAGGTCCATCGTTTCTCGAATTCTCTTCACCGTAAAATCCACAGCGGCTCCGTGGTCCACGGGGGGGCTCTTCTCCCGTGAAAACATAGGTCACCACAATGAAAGGTTGACGACAGGACGACCGGAATTCGATTCCCGGCATGAGTACGGCATGTTTTCAACACCTCTAGACCAACAAGCCGGCTGAGCACGCGACAAGCCGCGTGCGGCGTGTCGGGTGTTGTCGCGCGCGGCTGTCATTTGTATTGCTTTTTATAGTTAGCCGCGCCGCGTCAGTGGGTTTGCAATACAAATAACAGCCGCACGCGGCTACAACAGCTTCGTGCTAGGGGCAGGGTATCTCTAAGGATTGCCCTCTGTAGTTCAGTATACAGTTACGATACGCTGATAAGTTATCTGGTCTACGGATCGTAGAACGGAAGTGTTAGCGCAGTTATGACAAGTATTTTCCTCGTATTTTAATACACAGTACTTTCAAATATCTCCAACATGATTACAGACGTCTGTAGCTGAATCTGAAGTTTAATTTACGGTTACTTGTCTGCACTAAGAATAAAAGTAGACCTTGCCGACGACTTAACACCACGCGTTCTCAGCGTCGGTACTACATACATCGAGTGTTCAGCTTCACGTTCCGGCCAATTTACCCCGGTACAAATACCTCCGTTACCAACATGTTCGGCAGGAGACTGGGCTAGCCTTAGAAATGCTCTGAGTGAATGAATACAATTAACACGAACTATTCTAACCTACACAAATCCTTCCATAAAAACTGAATTTTTGTTTCATTTGAGGGCGCTGACCGCAACACAAACCACTGTAATTTAACTAACGCATGTGGTCTCCGTATTGTACACAGCGGATTACTGTCCAACATATATTAATTCGGAGGCAGATTAGATTAAATTAGTTTAGTTTCGTTCTGCCCAGTTTACATAACATCAAATCTTGTCTGCAAAGAATTCAAATCCTATGGCAGACCGCGCTTTAAAGTTTCCCGCCCTTACTGGATCAGACAGACCTACATGACAAAGGCGAGAGCGAGAGAGAGAGAGAGAGAGAGAGAGAGAGAGAGAGAGATGTCAGTGCACTCACCGATCTGCAAGGCCTCGCCATATTTCGCCAGAGCCGCGTCCATTTCGTTCCGCTGGAGGAGCTCATTGCCCTGTTCCCTGAGTCTCGCAGCTCGAACTTCTTCAGGCCACCATTTCTCAGACAACCCTTTCATCAACACGTTCGTTTGTAGCATGCCTCCTCCACCCGCGATCTTCTGCCCACACTGTCTGCAGTTTCTTGACGTATCCCGCTCCAAACACCGGCGACAGAAAGTATGCCCACACGCTGTGGTCACAGGCTGCAGAAGAATTCCTTCACATATCCGACACGAAAAACCTCTTGCTGGAGACGAACTCGGACCTGCTGTACTGGACATTATCGCATCTATCACAGATGTTGCTAAGGGGCGAAGTTTCTCCTGGGACACAACACCGCCACTGTCACTACTCTGAACATGGCAAAAATGCGATAACACGTCGTAAACTTCCCGTTGTCTTCCAAGTGAATTCCCGTAACCAAAACAAAGCTCCACATTCGTGCCTCTTTCTTTCAGACGTTTTTCAAACATTTCTACTTCCAGTTTGTGGTTTCTATCAACAAATGCACTTCTAGCCATGATCTTCACGTTTTCTTGTGTAGTACTGCGTATGCATGGGTATGATACAGCTATATTAAATGGTGGTGTGTTTCGGCGTTACCTCGTGGTGCAGGCTGTCGGCCATGTCGTGAACACAATATCCTAACGGCGCGGAGGGCGACCGAAGACTGAAGCTCCGAGCAAGCTCGCGGGAGAGCTTTCCCCACCCGGCCGGCCGCCCGCCAACAGAGCTGTGTTGTTACATAAAGGTCACGTTCCACTGCGGAGCTGCTGACGATAAACAGAGAGGTCCATCACCCCCACGAGCAACACGCAGGCGCACCAGCCTCTGAAAGCAATAGACATATTTGAGTTTCTCGATGCCATTCCTCGATTTTTTTGCGAAAAATAAATAGTAATCCTCAATTTTTTAAAGTTTCGAACCACAGTCAACTGCACACGTCACATGGAGTCAACCAGTAATGACGACTGAATTGAGAAGAGTGTCCAAAACGTGAGGCTTGACCACGGTTCGATTCCCGGCAGAGGCAGAAATTTTTGTCTTCGTCAAAGGGCCCTGATCGGCTCTGAGGCCCATTCGGCAAACCAGGGACAAAGCAGACGCCTTCCACACCCCCCCGTCCATCCGAGTGTGAATTCCATCTAACGCAGAATTAAGAACTGAACTACCCCGAACGTCTTTGTGGTGTGCGATAAGCATTGAAATAACTTTTCCGTCAGAACTACGTCTCAGAGGAGCTTATTGCTTTCATCATCAGAAAAATCAGCGATTGCCCCTAGATGATTCTCATTGTCTGTTAGTAAATACCAGACTACAGGAGACAGCCATCGTCGTACTTGTAGCAGTGAGACGGTGGACTTCATTTTCCCCTTCGAGCATAAAAACTACGTCTTCAAAGTCTTTGTTCGTTTTCTCAATCTGCCACGCGTTTTGTGTTTGCTTAAAATCACGCGTTCAGAACGTTCCTATACAAGAGGAAAACAATATTGAAACAAAGTTGTTCAGGCAGAAAAACTTAACTTATACTTTCATCTTACGTCACCAAAGTACGCAATTTGTGACGAAGTATTCAGCTAGGCCTAAAATATGTATTTGTTATGTAAAACTTACATGTGTCTTGTTACCTTGGTAACCACTGACCTCTGAACGTTTGAGTACACAGCCGGTTTTATGGGCAAGGATAGGAACGTGTTGATTATAGCCAAGGTGTTCCGATGTCACATACAGTTCTGGGTTACATAATTATATAACTTACTGCAAACTGTACAGATGTCACGTTTGCACGTACAGACTTGTACGTAACTAGGACACACTCTTCTGGCATTTTGTCCAAGGATGCGAACTTTAATTCTGGTGTGAATTTTGCTTTACGATTAAAATATTTAAAAGACTAAAGTCTATGACGCACAAATATTTATTTGAATCATTTCCCGACCCCTGAACTGAACCTGTTTTATGAAAGAAATGTTAGTGAAGGTCACGACATGGAAGCTTCGAGGGTGTGAACTGTGAACAGAGATACGTGAATCGTAAATTCTGACCTCAGAGTTTCAAGTTCTAAACATCAGCTTCATGTTTACACAAGATATGAATCCGGATGTACTTTCAGTTTTACTCGAATAATTTAATATAATTCTGCATGCAAAATATACCAATTATATATATTTATTTTGTACAGTCTATACACAAACGTTTGAAGTTTATTGGTGTTGTAAAAATTATATAATATTAAAACATTTTGTTGTGTAAAATATTATATTAGCGCTCTTAATCGTAAATACGATTTTACATTATATTTTTTAGCGCTTTTTACCAATTATATATATTTTTTATAAATTTAACAAACGTAGTTTTAAAACTGTAATAAAGTTGTCTCTGTGCTTAAACACCACGCCAAGGACACACATATGTTAACAGGAAACCTGTCTGACACGACAAAATATTTGGGTTCACTTTGATTCCGTTATAAGCAGGGTTTACTGTATAAACTTCGTGCATAGAACGCGTAATATACGTAGAACTACCGGACACGACGTAAAGGAGCTCCCCGTCATAAACACAATACATGCAACGGTGCAGCGGTTGAAGTTGATGCATGAACCCGGCTGACTGGGCATAGTTCACTTGACTTCTATCTGTGCACGTTACGTAACGCAACGAACGGAGATATAAGCACGTATTCAGTCACCTCATAGCGGACGTACCGAGCACGAAGACCTTACAGCGATTTCCCGACGGTTTATTCAGGACACTTCTTAGCTTCTATTCTGATTTGACGCCAAAGAGTTGTGTTCCTTCGTGCCCCCGGCTTCGAATCTAGGCAAGGTCCTTGCCATCATGAGAGCTTCTCGTGCTTTCATCCAGTCCAAAGAGACGAAGGATACGGAAATATATGATTGTACGTTAGGGATTAGCAAGCCTTTTCTGTATTATGAAGGTCTCGACCTGGAGATCGCCTGTCCTGATTATAAGTTTTCGTCATATTCTTACGAAAATGCTGTTCCTATAACACTTTAAAAACAGATCATCTGCCTTGGACCCCTCTCATTAACCTTTCACAGTCAAACACTGTATGAACGACTTAGGCGAGAGTGAAGTGTTAGATGGGGAAAAACATTTCAATATTTAAAGTCGCCAATTTCGAGGAAATAACCAAACCAAATATCTGCAGTGGTTGAATCCATCCAATCTTTACAACTTTCTTCTCCCAACGCCCTAATATTGCTAAACAGAAAGTACAGGCCCTAATTCATTAAGTTTCTCTAATTTGTTCTTTCCGCATTGTTCAGGTTGAGGCCAGACGAACGTACTTTAGCACTCATATAAACGGATGTAAAGGAATGTGAATTTTTCAAGTCCGCGCGCGGTTTATTATCTGACAATTAACACTTTAAAGAGTGTGCAATGATTCATTTTACTTAGAATATTCACTCGATTCAGTTGATGTAAGTGAATTTTTCAAACGAACGATTCAGAGATTCATTAAATTCATTGCCTATTTATGATCGATTAATTCATAACCTGCAGCTGTATTCGTCATTCTCTTTGTTCGGCTATTGACTGATTCGATAAATTCATTATCTAGAAAGCTGATTCATAATTCAAAGCAGACTACAAGGAACAAAGTCTCGCTTTCCTATGAATCGTACTGCATGATCTAGTACAGTGGTATTCCACCTTTTTTGTTCGCGTACCCCCAGATATAATTTCTCTTCAACTTTGTACCCCCAAAGTTGTTGGTGTACAATTCAAGTTATACATAGTATAAAATCTACATCTAAAATAAAGTAAATAAATTACATTACCGATTATTCAGTGTTTATCATGAAATAATATATATATTTTTTAAATTTCACGTACCCCCTAAGATGTCTTCGCGTTAAGAGTTCAGTGTCTATGAAAAAATAACGCCCATAAAAATAAACTGTAAAAACGTTGAACGAATGGGGCAAGGCGACGGTGCGGGCATCGGAGAGTGAGGTCAAAACGCCACTGAAACAACCAAATAATTAAGACGTTTAAAACAATCGACTGAATTTACTCGGTTTATAACTTGTTTGCTTTATTCATTTGGAAAATAATATTAGGACACACTGGACCCTTCCGCCATAGTTCGGACCCTCAGGTTCTGTGGTAACCAGTGGAGGGATTTGGACGCGAAGTCTTGGAAGTGACGTGAAAGGGCCCCTTCAGCTTCAGATGTTTTCTTTTGAAACAACTGAACAGATTCACTGGTTACGACACACTTTTCTTACATCGTACATTCAAATGCGTTACCTAATAACTCACTGGTTGCTGATATAATCATTCCTTTGATACATTCTGAAAGAAGTTTAAAAACAGCTTTATGTTTTGTAACATCATCTGTATATAATAATAAACAACGGAATATAACCATCTTAAACTCTGTCTTTTTCTTATTAATATGATTAATCCTACTGTCATTCAGAAATAACCCCATAATAGTATGATTTACAACTTACAAAGTACAACTCAGACATATCAATTAGGCCGGTTTATCTTTTAAATATTTTATTTTCAAATATTAATGAACAGTTTCCGCTAAAAAAAAAAGCTGAACACAATCCCAAGAAATATTGCAGACATTCAGAAATAAAATGATGTATAGTGGATTCTTTGTGGGCTTGCTAAGGTTCATGACAGTGCGAATCACAGCATATCAACAACAAAACTCAATTATTATGGAAAAGTATAAATGTTAGTAAACGGTACATCATTCTTACAAACAAAAGACACACATGTATTAATTCAACGTTTTACAATTTAAGAGAAATGCAATTTTCTCGACATTTTGAAAACTAAATATATTCAGAGCAGCGTACAGTATTCCTAAACAAAGACAACTCTTTCGTAGCACGGAAAAGGTTAATATAAAAACTTTCCTATTATCAATGACTGCCTTGCTTGTGTAACATTTATACTGTAAGCAAGTGTTACATAAGCTCCCGTCAGATACGTTCCATGTACGTGACATAATTAAGATAAATCCTTGTGTGTGGCGAATAGGCTACTCAAAGGAGTATGTAACATTGTCCTTACACCTGTCAAAAGGCATGCGGTAATTTAGCTTACGTTTCGGGGATTCCTGGTCTTATGTAACATATTACATATCTGAGAATATCTGACCATGTAAGTTTTACGCAGAACTAGAAATATACATCATAAATCTTCGCTGTACGTTTAACTCGAGTTGGCTGGTTATGTGGTTTGTCGCATGGTTGGTTGATTATGTTTGTCAGTTGCACGCTTACTGGCTGGTTAGATGATTTGACTAGTTACTGAACAGAAAGTCGATTCAAATTCTCTTGCTTATTTCACACTGTGGATATATTAAATAAATAAAAACACAAACTAACAAACAATATAAAATTTACTTCGGACAGATTTATTTTCCAAATGCGTCATTTACGGTTTTATGCACTGAACTGGACTTGATATTAATTTATTGCAGAAACAATTATTTATTTGAATCCGTCTGATCACAATATTTAAAATTTCTTATAATAATTAAGATAATAAAATATCATTCATGTTCCATATCGATTGATCGATTTACATTTCGGAACATTTACACAACATGTTT